GGTCCTAACAGGACAAAAACACCCATAGCAGGCGGAAATGCCCCCCCCACCAGGGGCATTTTTTAGTCCCTAGATCTATGCAAAGCTATACAAGGACCCACAGAATAAAATATTTTACCACACCGCCGTGCCTGTGGATCAGCCACTGCCAGGTCGCTGTGGGGGGGGGGGAGGAGGGAAGGCAGGGGTGAAGGGGGGCCAGGCTGCAGCCTCCCGAATCACCCCGGGTCCCCGGCAGGCTTTGGTGGGAGGGGAGGGGAAGAGGGGGAGGAGGAGAAGGGAAGCGAAGGGAGAAAGGAAAGGAAGGGAGGGGAGAGAGGGAGGGAGGGAGGGAGGGAGGGAGGGAAGGAAAGAAGGAAGGAAGGAAGGAAGAAGAAAGAAAGAAAAAGAAAGAGAGAGAATGGGAGGGAGGATCAAAGGAAGGATAAATGAAGGAAGGAAAGAAGGACAAAAAGAAAGAAAGAGAGAGAGAAAAAGAAAGAGAGAAAGAAGGAAAGAAAGATGGAAGGAAGGAAAGAAAAATGGAAGGGAGGAAGGAAGGAAGAGAGGAAGGAAGGAAGGAAGGAAGGAAGGAAGGAAGGAAGGAAGGAAAGAAAGAAAGAAAGAAAGAAAGAAAGAAAGAAAGAAAGAAAGAAAGGTGCAGAAGCGCCCCCCCCCCATGGATCCTGCAGCCCCTCTCCTCCCTCCCTCTCCTCCCTCCCTCCCTGCCCGTCCTTCTTCCCTCACCGTAGCGCGCGGCGTAGTCCGGCTGCGGGAGGAGCAGGAACTTCTCGTAGGCCTTGCCCAGGTCCTTGGGGTCGGCCAGGTAGGGCTGGCTGGAGGTGCCCAGGAGCAGGACGCGGTCCTCGGCCTTCAGCAGCCTCAGGGCTCGGGGCAGCTCCTTCCTCAGGCGCTTGGGGTCCAGCTGGGCGGGGTCCGGGGGGGGGGGCAGGAGAGAGAGAGAGAGAGAGAGAGACCAGGGGATCAGGGCTTGGTCAGCACCAGGGTGCCAGTTTGGGCCATGACAGGGGGCGGGGGGAAAGGCTTCTTCCGCCCGCCAGAGGAAGAGAGCTGGAAGGGGCCTCTGAGGTCATCCAGCCCGGCCCCGGGGCCACTCCAGCCCGGAGTGGAGGAACGGAGGCCCCTTGGCCCGAACTCACCTCCTTCTCCTCTTTGGGGACCTTCTTGTAGAACATCTTCTCGGCGCTCCCCACCCAGATGACGGAGGGCTGCATTAGGCGGGCCACCTGCGCTGACGGAGGGAGGGAAGGGATGGGGGAGAGGGAGGGAAGGGAGGGAGGAAGGAAGGAAGGAAGGAGAGAGAATGCGAGGGAGGATTGAAGGAAGGAAAGATAAAAGGAAGGAAGGAAGGAAGGAAGGAAGGAGAAAGAAAGAAAGAAAGAAAGAAAGAAAGAAAGAAAGAAAGAAAGA